TTTCTGACATCACATAACCTTTCCAGGTTGAACCAAGGAGACAGTGACACACAAAATAGACCAATAAAAACCCAGGAGATTGACTCTGTCATACAAAAACTAACCTAGCCGGGCTCGGTGGCACAGCCTGTAATCCCGTGCCTTTGGGAGGCTGAGGTGAGTGGACTGCCTGAGCCCGCGGGTTCGAGACCTGCCTGGGTAGGCGAGACCTCATCTCTACAATAAATCAAAAAATCAGCCGGGCGTGGTAGCGCGTGCCTGTAATTCCGGCTACTCGGAAGGCTGAGGTGGAAGGAGCGCCGGAGCCCAGCGGGTCAGGGCTGGGGTGGCCGGGAGCGGCCACTGCACTCTAGTCTGGGCGACAGAGTGAGACTCCAACTTAAAAAAAACAAAAAAACAAAAAAAACACTAACCTACAAAAAAAAAGCCCTGGATCAGATGGTTTTCCAGCAAAATTCTACAAAGTGTACAAGGAGGAGCCAATACCAATCCTACTGAAAGAATTCCAAGCAATTGAGAAGGACAGAATTCTACCCAGATCATTTTACAAAGCTAACATTACACTGATACCCAAACTGGGTAAAGATCCAACAAAAAAAGAGAACTACAGGCCAATATTCCTTATGAACATAGATGCAAAAATCCTCAATAAGATTCTAGCAAATAGGATCCAAAAACACATCTCAAAAATTATCAACCATGACCCAAGTAGGTTTCATCCCCAGGATGCAGGGTTGGTTCAACATTCATAAGACCATAAGTGTAATTAAATGCATCAACAGATGTATAAACAAGAACCACATGATTATATCATTAGATGCAGAAAAACCTTTGATAAAATTCAGCATCCCTTCTTGATTAAAAACTCAAACACCTAGGCAAGGAAGGAACATATCTCAAAATAGTAAGTGCCATCTATGATAAACCCACAGTTAACATATTGCTAAATGAACTGAAACTGGAAACATTTCCCCTGAAAACTGGAACAAGACAAGGCTGCCCACTCTCACCCCTCTTGTTCAACATTGTGTTGGACGTCCTAGCTAGGGCAATTAGACAAGAGAAGAAAATCAGGGGTATCCAAATAGGAAAAGAAGAAGTCAAGTTATCCCTCCTTGCTGACAATATGATCCCATACCTTGAAAATCCAAGAGAATCTGTCAGAAACCTGCTTGCACTAATAAAAGACTTTGGCAAAGTCTCAGGGTACAAAATAAATGTGCAAAAGACAGTTGTATTCCTATACAACAACAACAAGCAGGCAGAGACCCAAATTAAAGCACAATCCCATTCACAATAATCACAGAAAAAATGAAATACCTCAGCATCTTACTAACCAGAGAAGTGAAACCTTTACAATGAGAACTACCAAACACTGCTCAAAGAAATCCATGAAGACACAAACAAATGGAAAAATACTCCATGCTCATGGATAGGAAGAATCAACATTGTTGAAATGTCCATCCTACCAAAGGCAATCTATAGATTCAATGCAATACTCATTACCAACATCATTCTTCTCAGACCTGGAAATAACAATACAGAAACTCATATGGAAACATGAACGACCATGAATAACCAAAACAATCCTTAGCAAAAGAAACAAAGCAGGAGGTATCACACTTCCAGACTTCAAACTTTACTATAAGGCGACAGTAATCAAAACAGTCTGGTATTGGTACAAGAACAGGCATATAGACCAATGGAACAGGATAGAGATTCCGGAAGCAAAGTCTCAATTTTTCAGCCAACTCATCTTTGACAAAGCCTCCAACAATAACCACTGGGGAGAGGAGAACCCATTTAGTAAATGGTGCTGGGAAAACTGGCTGATCACATGCAGAAGATTGAAACAGGATCCCCTACCTATCACCATACACAAAAATTAACTCTGAATGGATCAAAGACCTAAACGTAAAACCTCAAACTATAAAAATCTTAGAAAACTCAGGAGACACCCTTATGGAAATTGGAACTGGCAACCAATTCCTATTCAGAATCCTAAATGCCCATACCTTAAGAAATAAGACAGACAAGTGGGACCTCAACAAACTAACAAACTTCTGCAAAGAAAAAGAAACTGTCAAGAGAGCAGGGTGACAGCCCACAGAATGGAAAAAAATATTTGCCAACTGTATTCTGACAAAGGCCTAATATCTGGGATCTACAAGGAACTTAAATGCGCCAAAAGGAAAAAAAAAACAGCCCCATTAAAAAGTGGGCAAAAGACATGAATAGACACTTCAAAAAGAAGATATACAGGCAGACAATAGACACATGAAAAAGTGCTCAGCTTCACTCATCATCAGAGAAATGCAAACCAAACCACACTGGGATACCACCTAACCCCAGTAAGAATGGCCACCATTAATAAAACAACCACAGATGCTGGTGAGGATGTGGAAAAAAAGGAATGCTTCTACGCTGCTGGTGGGAAAGCAAACTAGTTCAACCTCTTTGGAAGACAGTGTGGCAATTTCTGAAAGAATTAGAATTGACCTTCCATATGACCCAGCAATTCCTCTATTGGGAATATACCTGGAGGAACTCAAATCATTCTACAAAACTGATACCTGCACACGCATGTTTGTTGCAGCTCTATTCACAATATCAAAAACATGGAACCCACCATGTTGCCCATCGAAGTTGGCCTGGATAAAAAAAATGTAGTACATATACACAATGGAATATTATACAGCCATGAAGAAGGACAAACCTATGGACTTGGCAGCAACTTGGGTGGGTTTAGAGTTGATCATACAAAGAACAGAGCAGCATATTTTCACTCATAAGTGGTCCTTGAACAATTAATTATTACAATAGTATAAGAAAGGGATTGGCAGTAGTGGGAAACTGTCAGGGGAGAGGGGTGGATTGGCAGTTGAGGGAAACTGCTAAGGGAGGGAGGAGCACACCTCATCAACAAGGGTACCTAAAATGTTTGCATACCTGATGCTGAATTGCACCCCAAATCTTTATAACAAAAAATTTTTTTAAAAAAGAAAATTACAGCTAAAAAGGAGGAGTAAGTTCTAGTGTTCTATACCACTCCAGGATGACTAGAGTAAACAATAATATATAGATTCAAATAGCTACAGAAAGGATATTGAATGTTCTCAACACAAAGAAACAACAAATGTTTCAGATATGGATATTCTAATTATCTTGATCTGTATACATTATATGTATCAAAACATCACTATGTACCCCATTAATATGGACAATTATTGTCAATTAAATAAATTAATTTAAAACAAACAAAAAGAACTTCATGCTTTCAATGCTACTTTAAATGGCATCCTTTTAAAATCCATGTTTTGTTTGATGCTACAGTATATATATAATTTTCAATTCCCAATTAATATTAGTTTTCATATCCAGTAGCAATGTTAATTTTCTTATTATATCAAATACTTTATCCACAAACCTTTAACTTTTTTTTTTCTACATGCACAATGTAATCTGCTTTTAAGAATACGTTTTTTTCCAAAATTTTCCAATTCTTGCACTTCTTACTACTTTTTTGTTGTTGTTTAACTTACTCTGCTAAATAGGATCTCCGGTACAGTACTGGATATGTCACTGGTTTTCACTGATTCTATGCTAGTCTTTTTTTTTTCCTTTTTTGCTGAAAACTTCCTAAAACAAGGGGGCTGAATATTTATTGATCTACATTGACATGAACCCTTTGAAAACTCAATATATACTCATTGAAAGATTAAATCTAGATTTTTAACTTTAAAAGTTGTGCAATTCAAGAATAACATTGCAAAATCTGGTTATTCAGTTAAAAATATGTTCCACTGAAAAAAGAGAAAATTTAACAAAAGTAGACTTAAACATTTGGTTGTTTATTATATCATTCAACAGGAAAATGAAAGGAAAATGTCTGTTGGTATTGGATCAGCAGCACAGAATGGTATGCCAGATATACCTGTTCGGGGGGGGTTGTTGGGTTTTTGTTTGTTTTTTGAGTCAAGGTCTCACTCTGTCATCTAGGCTAGAGTGCAGTGGCGTGATCACAACAATCATGGCTCACTGAAGCCTCATCCTCCTGGGCCCAGGGCAATCTTTCTACCTCAGCATCCCAAGTAGGTGGGACTACAGGCATGCACCACAAAACCAGACTAATTTTTTTTTATTTTTTTAATTTTTTTATAGAGATAAAGTTTGGCCATGTTGCCCACAGTAGTCTTAAATTCCTGGGGTCAAGCAATCTGCCCACCTCAGACTCCCCAAATACTGAGATTATAGGCATGAACCACCATGCCCAGCCTATACCTGGTATTTCATGGCCTTTCACTCATGATCACAAGATGACTGCTGCAGCTCTAAGCATCACATCCAAGTAAAAGTAGGAAGAAACAGAGAAGGGGCAGCTAAGGCTGTCCTTTTGGGAAAAAGTCAAATGCCTTCCTGGGTGTAACCAAGGCTAATTTCACCTTATTTTTCACTGGCAAAAGCTTGCTCATATGACTAACCCAAAATGAAATTAAGTGTGGAAGCAAAACACATGACTATCATAGTTTATTTCAATTTATCACCTGAGACTAGTCTCACTACTTCTCCCATCCAAAATTTTGGTATTGTTATCAAGAAAGGCTAGCACGTATAAGTGTTCTGTCACATGTGATGTACAGCTTCCTTAATTTCACCTTTATAGAGAATACAACTAGAAATAATTTGCTACTAATACCAACCAAGGAGCCCACTAGCATTTTAATAATTTCATACATGAAAAGAGGTATTTTTCATTAAATCATGTGTTAAATCTTAGCTTAAAAATATTCCCACAGTCTAAAAAGGATGCCTTCAAGATACTATTTTAGTAACCGCTCCAGTCTCTGGTTATATGATATTGGCTAAGCTCTGGAAAAATCAAACAAATATACAAACTTTCCTTCTATCAATTATTTAATCTCATTGTCTTTACATTTAATCAATAAATATCAGCTGTCCATATAAGTCACATGAAAGATCTTTTAATTCAGTTGTCTTACCTCAGGTATGCACCATATATGAAGAACAATCCCATCATTAGTCCATTTAAAATAAAAATCACACCAACATAAAAGCAAGCAGGGTCTCCCAATCCTTTGAAAAGACACAGATTAGTCAATATTTGATGAATAAACTACTATAAAGCTATTGGGCGTAATTATCTCAGTGCTTTATAATCAGAACTCATGAATATCATGAAAGCATTTGCTTTCCAGATTGTCATTGTGTTTACAGTTATATTAATACTATACCCTTATAAGGGGGTGTATATAAGCCTACCCTTATTTGAGGTATTTATTGCCATGTATACCTAATAACAGTTACATGCATACTTTTACCTAATGAAATATTATTATACTGTAATGATTTGTTGGGGCTTCACATTTATTTAGGTGATGCTGCTATTGTTCAGTGCCTGAAATTGTCTGTAGAGACACTCAAATTACAAGAGAAAATCCATTGCATTATTTTGATCTTTTGCTAGGCTCTAGGATAAGCAAGATATGGTCCTGACCTCAAGAAGTAGCTTTAAACTATATGAGATGATCCAGTTTTTTGATTCACAATTATGTATAGCTAGAATCTTATATAATAATTGTGTATTATGTAGATGATTTATAATCATCATCTACATAATTCTCAGAATAAATTCATGAAATTAGTTGGTATGAAAATGCTTTTCTTATGATTGAAAAAACAGAACATAGAAAATTTATACAACTTGTCAAAAATTATTTAGCTTTAATTGGTCAGAGCTAAAATCTAGACTTTCTGATTCCTTCTACTTCTCAGATTACTCCTTTCAGTCTGTTCTGATAACTTATCTTGTTTTATGCACCCCTTCAATATCAGACCACCTTAGGCTCTGTTTTCATATGTCCTCTTCTTTTCTCAATCTGAAAATTCTCCTTAAGGAAATCCTTTCACTTCCATGGCTCCAGTTATCATCTGCATAGAGACGACTCCCAGTCTATAATCAGCCCAGAACTTTCTCCTTATTACTATACTTATATATCCAGGTAGTCACTTGACACTTCCACTTTGAGATCTCTCAGGTACCTCAGACTAGTAGTTCACAATGAAATGTAGCAATTCAAACCTGCTACTTTTCAAATGTTTCCAGTCATTCAAAGGGACTCAATTACTCAAGCTAGAAACCAAGTTGTGTTACAGAAACTTTCCTCTCCCTCTCTCCCATCAATTACCAAGTCTTGTCAATTCTGCTTAGAAAATACCTCCCAAATCTAGACTAGGCATTTCCCATTTATCTTTCCTATAATAGCAATAGTTTCCTACATGGCCTCACTGAATCCACTTTTGTCCTTTACTAATATCCTTCCTTACTTCCTCCCTCCCTCCACCTCCCTTCCTTCCTTTTTTTTTTTTTTTTTTTTGAGATAGGGCCTCACTCTTGTCACCCAGACTGGAGTGCAATAACATGATCACGGTACACTGCAGACCTGAACTCCTAGGTTCAAGCAATCTTCCCTCCTTAGCCTCTTGAGGAGTGGGGACTACAGTCATATACTACCACAGTCAACTAATTTTTTGATTTTTTTTTTGCAGAGATGAGGTCTTGCTATGTTGCCCAGGATGAACTTGAACTCCTGGGTTCAAGCAATTCTCCTCCTTCTGCCTCTCAAAGCACTGGGATTACAGGTCTAAGCCAGCACGCCCAGCCTAATATCCTTTCCATACAACTAACAAAATAATATTTTAAAATGCAAATGTTCAAATTCTTCAATGATAAAGTAAAAAAATCCTTAACCAGCATATGGCTTTTCTTGATCTGCCCCTTGTTTATATACCCAGCAGCCTTTCACATCATTTTTCTTCTCTGTATCTTTGTTCAAGGAATTCTAGCCTTCATTCAACTCCCTCTAGCCTCGGAAAGAGAAATTTTTCTCTTACCCCTAACCTCAGCAACCTTATTTTCTCATTTTTAATATCCATCACAGTTGCAACTGCTAACAGCCCTCTTACAATATAAACTCTTATGAGGGAAAAGCCTACACCTACTTGGTTCATCTCTGTCAAACATGAACCTGTCACTTGGTGGGATCTCAATAATTCATATTATATGTGTTTAAAGATGATTATCTTTATCCCTCACAGTGAGTATACTTTCTAGCTGAATGGATCATTACAAAGTCTCTCATTTTATGAGGCATTTTCTCCAATCCTTTACATTGTACAAAAAGTATAATTGCTCCTCAAACTTCTTCATCAATTCTATTTTAGATATTATAAAGATCACTTGAGAGAATCAGTAAAAATGCAAGAAAGATACAGATTTAGTTTATATTCTAAGAATTGATTATTATAAACAACTCTGTAAAAATATATTTATAAAATATAGTTAAGTATTCATGTTGTGAAGAATCTGAAGGAATAAAGAAAAACAACAACTGTGTTAGTGCTATGCAAGTAGATATATGTGGCTCTGAACAAGAATCTCAAAGGACAGTATCATAATTGATTGTAAAAGTGTTGAAAATGAAAACATCTTAAATAGAAGTGACTATTACATGTCCTGAAAAACGGACGGTTCCAAAAGTGGTTCTTTGACAGCGACACCAATGTAGATGGTACACAGGAAGAGTCTGAGTAAAACTATTCATGAACTGTGAGCACATAAAAAATTAGTATTTCTAAATCAATCTATAATATATCTGACTTTAAACATGTATGTATAACTAAATTAATATACTATTGTAAGTAGATACTTGACTATTTAATCCATTCCCAAAAAAACTTTAACATCTTCTCATTCTGTGATAGAAGACTAATACTCAAGATTGCCTTATACTGGGGGCAATACTCAAATTTCAAATTTATACTGAAATTTGTAAGTATATATCCTTAGAAAACTACTTTAAAGTATAAAATGCTCATTGAAGTGAATTAGTTCTTTAAAAAAAAATCAGTCACAGTTTACAATAATTCTTAAAAATGAATCACAACTTTACAAAAATTTATTAAGATACTAACGACAGCAGCATTTTTGGAAGAAACATGCCTTCACAGCTTTGAACTTCACCAAGAGGTTCTATTCTGGTGACATTCCAGCAGGTCTTAGTTTCTAGCCCAAATAAATTCATTATTCCCATGAATGTGCGATACCAGCAGGCTATGATTACCTAAAATAGATAAAAACAAAGTGATAATGAAGGAAAATACATTCTCTTCATTGTAATAATTTTTCCAAAGTACCATTTTATGAGATTGCCTTTGACATTATAAACTTTGACAAATTTATTTAAGTCATTTTACTTGGGAATCAGTCACTTTAAAATGATATATAATGCTTCTCTGTATGAAATATATATTACATACAGTAATCAACTCTGTAACAAATAATACTAACTGTAAATTAATATAAATATATAATTAAATATGTGTAAATTTATTAATATTAATAGAAAAATACAAAGATTTACAGAAACACTTCATTTAGCTCCTTACACTTATTTCTAGATGAAATATAGTATTTAAAAAACTAGATTGGAATGGAATAATTTTAGTACCCACTAAAACTTTAACCAAGTAGAAGATTTAATTGACCAATTCTTTCCCATCTGTATTGTATCTTTAAAAGTTCAAAGACAAGGATAAAAAACAATAGAAAGAATGACAAAAGGTCCATGTCTAGCAGATTGTTTAAAAAATAATTATAGATTTCAGAAAACTAATATAAGGTCATTGAGAAAAACAAGGCAAAAAAGAAAAGATCTGAAAAACAGTAAGAACCTCTAAGAGCTAACCTCATTAAATACTTTAGTAATCTGCCTTTCAGTCATCTCCCTAGACACTTATAACGTGTAACTACAGTTATTCAATATTACATAGTAAAATCATAGTATAAACATTAATGTAATATATATCACTAAACATCATAAATATCTCTCCATGTCCAGAAAGTGCAGAATTTTTTTTATCACTTTATGTTTAAAAACTGACATTCTACTCATAATTTCTAATCCCATGAATTTATCATACATATACAAAAAAATTACCACATTAAATGTGTTGCTAACTCTAGAATTATATTCCTTTCTGGGATGCTATTTCATACAGCAGGAAAAGCATGGCTTTGAAGTCAGAATTGAGCTCAAATTTAAAATCTGCAAGTTATCGTTTCTATGGCCTTAAGAACCTCAGTCACCTCTGAGTTAAACCTCTGAACTTGTCACCTTATCTTGCAAATGAGTTTAATAATAACCATTTTGCAAGAGAGAGGTGATATAAGAGCTTATGTATATAGTCATATATGTCCTAAGTATAATACTGGCATATAGTAAGCATTAAATGTGCTAACCTTCTCAAAATGTATTATAAACTTACATTTTTAGCTTTAAGTGAACACAAAAAGTATGAACATACAATTCAACACTGCAGTACTACACAAGGCTGGCAGGAAAGCTAGATCTATCCTTGCAATGGAAAAAGACAGAACAACTCCTTGTTGCCTGTTCTTTATAATGCTATTAAGTTTTAAAAAACAACTGAACTACATTATCATAATTACTTTTTCACATCAAAAAAGAAATGAAAAATATTCTCAATAATTATCCAATAAATATTGTTGAAAAAGTGAAAAAAAAAATAGCTAAAGTCTCTGAGACCACACTGTTAGAAATGAATGAACAAGTAATAGAGAATCTTACTACATAGCTTAAAGATCCAAAAATAATCAAAAAATTAAATAATTATCAAACACTCAGAGAAATTGATCTAGTGTAATAAGCTAAATCCTCATATATAGAGAGTTAATCAACATTAACTCACACTGACGATACTGAAAATAGCTTTTTGGTCTCTTTGGCTTTTGCATTTACACTAAAGTTATGGAGACAGCCATTAGAGTAAACGAAAACAAACATGCTTCTGAAGAATAAGTGGCATGTTAAGAGAAAGTTGGTACAGAAGAAAATTGCTTCTTTTATCTTAGGCAGGTCCATATTATACAATTATTACTATTATGAATTACATCTTAAACTTTACAAAAATTGCCAGGTGTGATGGCTCATGCCTATAATCCCAGCACTTTGGGAGGTGGAGGTGAGAGAATTGCCTGAGTCCAGGGGTTCGAGACCAGCCTAGGCAGCGGTGAGATTTTTGTCTCTACAATAAATCAATAAATAGTAGTGCCCACCTGTGGTTCCAGTTACTTGGAAGGCTTGAGGTGGAAAGATCACCTTAGCCCAGCAGGTCAAAGTTGCAGTGGCCATGAATACGCCACTGCACTTCTGCCTGGGCGACAGAGTGAGACACCTACTCAAAAAAAATTAAATTAAATTAAAATAAAATAAAAACTTACAAAAATCAAACTCAGAAAGAAATCTGAGAACTGTCCAAGTACTTGAAAAATTAAACAACACAATTTTAAATTGTCACTGGATTAAACAAGAAATCTACATGGGAAATTATAAAATAATCTGAACTGAATGAAAATGAAATGCAATATACAAATATTAAGTTATGCAAATATTTGCTTTGGGGAACATGAAGTAGATGTACTTTGCCTTGCTACTCCCTCTAAATATAACTAAAAAGTTCTTTGAATTATATATAAAACAAACATTAAAAGACTCTAAAAAGTAGAGAGAAGATAGACTTGAGACCCAAAGAAAGACATGTTATGAGTTCTATGAGCTCTCTTTTTGCCTTATTTTCTCAGATTTAGAGTTAAAGCGGCCGTCTGGCTGGACACAGTGGCTCACACCTATAATCCCAGCACTTTGGGAGGCTGAAGCAAGAGGATTGTTTGAGCCCACGGGTTTGAGACAAGCCTGGACAACTTGGCAAGACCTAATCTCTACAATAAATCAAAAAAATTTTCCAGGCATGGTAGCGCGTGCCTGTAGTTCCAGCTATGTGGAAGGCTGAGGCAGAAAGACTGTCTGAGCCTAGTAGGTTGAGGTTGCAGTGGTTGTGAGCATGCCACTGCACTTCAGCCTGGGCGACAGAGTGAGATGCCGCCTCAAAAAAAAAAAGAGGCTGTCAATCCAAAAAGTGTCAATGGACATTGCTACAATTTGAATGTGTTCCCTCCAAAATTCAGATACTGAAACTTAATGGCTATTGGGATAGTATTAAAATGTGGGGGTCTTTAACAGATAATCAAGTCAAGACTTCTCCCTGGCAGTCTTTCTTTTTCAAGAGAAAGTCTTGTCCATGCTAGGCCTTTCTGGTACAAGACTTTTGCTCACCCTTTCTTTCCTCTCTTCTTCTCCCTAATAAACTTTGTCTTAAAACTAAAAAAAAAAAAGACTCCTCCCTCATAAATGAGATTAAAGTCCTGTTGCTCGTCCACATTCTGCTGTGTGAGGATACTTTGTTACTCGCCTTCAGAAAATGCAATATCAAGGTGTCATATTGGATGCAAAGAGTGCAGTCCTTACCAACACCACGCCTGCAGATACCTTGATCTAGGACTTTTCAGCCTCCAGAATTGTGAGAAATAAATTTCTGCTCTTTATAAATTACCCAGTCACAAGTATTTTATTCAAACCTCAGAACGCATACTAAGACAGGCAAATATACAAAAAGCACAAAAGTCACCAGTAAAAGAGACAGCCTATAAATACAGAAAACTTCTAGACAATAATCTCTCTACTTCCACCAGTTACCACAAACTATGGCCACACTCCTACCATATCAACAAAGACCAAGTGAAGAACCTAGACTCCCATCCTCTCTAGGCTTTAATAAGGCACTCCAATCCATCCACTGGGATGGTGTCAGAGAAGGTTGAGTAGGGAGGTCCTTACTACCACAGTGTCATCAAAGACCACGTGAGCAGCCAGGACTTCTGCCCCAGCTAGCAATAAATAGGCACCCTTTCCCATCCCCAGTGTGGTGATGTCAGAAGAAGCCTAGTGGACAGTCAGGACTTTTATCACCACCTATACAGACAAAGCCATCCCTACCACAATGTTAACAGAGACCACATGCTAAGTCAGAACTCCCAGTCCAAACAGCAGTAATTAGGAGCACTCCCACCTCAGGATTAGCAACAGTCAGGGGGAGAACTTGGACTTCTATATCCACCTGGAAGTAGGAAGATGACATCCTCCACCTTACGAAGGTTTAAATAAAATCCAGTCTCATAACATAGTATTCAAAATTTATACGTCTCAAATGAAAATCACTCATCATATCAAGAAATATAAAGGTCTCAAACTGAAAGAAAAAAATCAATATTCCACCAAGATAAAAGAAATATTAAAATTGTCAGGGATTTTAAAGCAACCATCATAAATATGTTCTAATGAGAAATTATAAACATGCTTGAAACAAATGAAAACCAGAAAATCTTATCAAAGAAATATGTCTCAGCAAAAAAAAAAAAAATACGTAAAAGCCAAATCAAAATTTCAGAACAACCACCTCCACCCTCCAAAAAAAAATTCTCAGTGAATGAGCACAACAGCAGAATGAAGGAAACAGAGGAAAATAATCAGTGAACTGGGGGATAGGATAATAGAAATTACTCAATCTGAGTAACAGAGAGAAAACAGAAGTCAGACCTCTAAAAGAACAGAAAGCATAAACAAAAAACCAGCCCTAGATACCTGTGAAACTTTAACAAAAGATCTAATGTTCATGCCATTGAAGTCTTGGAAGTAGAGACAGAGGGCAGGGCTGAAAGAGAATTCAATGAAATAATGACTTACACTTTCCATATATAGCAAAAGATATAAACCTAAAGACTCAAGAAGCCAAGCAAATCCCAGGCAGAAAAACTCCAAAGAAATCCACATTAAGACATCATACTTCAGAAAACTTTTTCAACTTTGAACATTATACTTTTGCATGTTTTTGAAGACAAAATAGAAAAAATTATTGAAAACAACAAGAGAGAAAAAAACCTTATCTAAAGAAGAAAAAATTCAACTAACAGAGTATTTCTTATCAGAAACTATGGATGGACAGAATGATGTGGCACATTTGCCAAATACTGAAAGAAAGTAACTCTCAACCCAACAAAAATATCCTTCAGGAATAAAAAGGAATTCAACATTTTCAGATTAAGAAAAACTAAAACTATATGTAGCCAGTAGACTTACCTTCAAATAACAGCTAAAGAAAATTTTCTAAAAAGAAATGAAATGATAAAGAAGGAATCTAAGAACAC